GTGTGAATTTTCACCTGGACCTTGCACCTTTTTCCCCCCCCAAAAGCAAAAAGACAGAGCTATTTGTATAGACTGATTGCCTGCTACAAGGCATAAGCGAAGGCTAATTCTGCTTGGTATAGAATAATCATCCTATCCCTCAGAGTTGTATGAACTCTAATACCCAAAAATGTTTGACTTCTAACTACATTTGTTGTATAAATGGCTGAATGTTATTCTGTTTTTGCAACTCTCACAGCATCTTCACTCTTCTAGGGGTAGAGAAGAATATATATAAATGTGAAATGCATGTTGATTGATCTCTAGTGGAAAGTGAAATTGCTTTTAGTTTTGAAGCATTGAAATTTCATTCTCCCATTTCCTCTTTTGAAAGAAGGAAAACTCAGAGATTTGAAGAATTGACCCTCTCTGTGCTTTGGAATTCACACTGGGAGTAAGAAGCAGTGTGTTTGTACTTAATTCATTTCATTTGGTTGTTTGCAGTTTCAGATCTATTCATGGACAAGGATATTTATGCAATTCTCTCATGAGCCAATTAACTTTCTATTGGTCTTTTTATGTTTTAGTCTGTCGCCACAGTATGCTATTGAAACTGCTAAATATTTAGGTACAAACACAAACTCCCACTTCGGAATCAGCTGATTATGTAATGGCAGGTGAGAAGATACACAAACATATTAATATTTTTAGTTCTCTCTGATGCTGTTAGAAATACATGATAATTTCACCCCCATGGATTCACAGCAGTGATTAGTTGATGGCTCGAGTGCTTTCTGAAGCCATGGACGCAGGTCGTACTGTTAGCTGTTGGTCTGTAGAATCACAAAGAACACTTGCTGGGTGAGATGAAAATATAAGGAATTTCCACTATTTCTATTAACAGTTTTCCTTTTATTGTATTTTATTTCTTTTTTATTCTTTTAAAACATTTTCAGTTTTCCTTTTCTTGATTTTAGGTTTTTGGGTTTTTTTTCTGAGACAGAGTGAGTCTTCCTTTGGGGCCCAGGCTGGAGTGCAGTGGCACAATCTCAGCTCACTACAACCTCTGCCTTCCGTGTTCAAGCAATTCTCCTGCCTCATCCTCCCAAGCAGCTGGGATTACAGGCGTGCACCACTATGCCCAGCTAATTTTTTGTATTTTTAGTAGAGATGGGGTTTTGCCATATTGGCCAGTCTGATCTCAAACTCCCAACCTCGTGATCCACCCGCCTCAGCCTCACTAAGTGCTGGGATTACAGGCGTGAGCCACCGCGCCCAGCCTGATTTTAGTTTTGTGCTAAGTGTCTGTGATACATATTATGAACATCCACTAACATTTAAACAGCATTTTATATTTTAGAAAGAGATTTTATGTACATCATTCTATTGATCCCCAGCATTCTACTGACCCTTAGTCCTATGAGCAGAGAGGAACCTAAGCGATTATATGGGCTCCCAGTTTAGAGATGAAAAGCTTTACATGAAATTTTGTAATACTCCTTGATCAATGTGTGTCCCCAGGATTTGGCACAAAGATGGGTACCTGGTAGATGTGGAATAAAAATTTGCTAAGTGGCAAAAGAAATGGAGCTCAGAGAGAAACTAAGTGACTTGGCCATGGGCACACAGGACTAATTGATGGAGACAGCGCTCAGATTTAGGATTTAGGATTTCTTTTTTTTTTTTGAGATGGAATCTCACTTTGTCTTACTTAGGCTGGAGTGCAATATCGTTATCTCAGCTCACTGCAGCCTCTTCCTCCCTGGTTCAAGTGATTCTCCTGTCTTAGCCTCCTGAGTAGCTGGGACTACAGGTGTGTACCACCACACCTGGCTAATTTTGTATTTTCAGTAGAGACAGGGTTTCCCTGTGTTGGTCAGGCTGGTCTCAAACTCCCGACCTCAGGTGATCCACCTGCCTGGGCCTCCCAAGTGCTGGGATTACAGGCCTGTGAGCCACCATGCCTGGCAGATTTGGGAATTTTTGCCTCCAAGTCCACATAGCTTTCTAATGCTTATGCTCCTAAGAGGACAACTGAAGTAGTTTATAGTGACGCTAAGAGCTAAAGTAAAGAAATATGTTTGAAATCTTAACATGCAGATTTCTTAAGTTGAATGAGGAATTATTTTCAGCTAAAATTAAGTTGTATAGTTTTTATGTGTTCAAGGGGAATTTTAAAAAAATATGCAAAATTGGAGAGGATATCTTGAGGGTCATGCCGTTTTGGAGTTTTAGAGTAAATCATTAAATTTCAGGGTTTTTAGACATGAAAGAACCTGTACATTTGGAGACAAGGTAGGTGAAATTAACTAAAATTGTATGCTCCATGAGAGCAGGGTCTATGTGTGTCTTTTTACCACTCCATGCCCAGTGCCTGGCACAGTGCCCAGTGGACAGTGAAGTAGGAGTTCAAGTAATATTTATTGGCTGGGTGAGGTAAAAAAAAAACTAGGGTTTTTTGTTTGTTTGTTTTTTGAGACTGAGCCTTGCTCTGACGCTCAGGCTGGAGTACAATAGAGTGATCTCGGTTCACTGCAACCTCCACCTCCTGGGTTCAAGTGATTCTCCTGCGTCAGCCTCGTGAGTAGCTGGGATTATAGGCACTGGCCACCACACCTGGCTAATTTTTGTATTTTCAGTAGAGACAGAGTTTCGCCATGTTGGCCAGGCTGATCTTGAACTCCTGACTTCAGGTGATCCACCTGCCTTGGCTTCCCAAAGTGCTGGAATTACAGGCATGAGCCACCATGCCTGGCCTTTATTTTTATTTTTAAGAGACCAGAGTCTTGCTCTATTGCCCAAATTGGAGTGCAGTGGAGTGACTGTAGCTCACTCTAGCCTGAAACTCCTAGGTTCAAGTGGTCCTTTCACCTCAGTCCCCCAAGTAGCTAGGACTACAGGCACATGCCACCATGCTTGGCTAGTTTTTGTATTTTTTTTTTCTTTTTTTGTAGAGAGAGAGTCTCACTATGTTGCCCAGGCTGGTTTTGAACTTTTGTCCTCAAGCAATCCTCCTGCCTTGGCCTCCCAAAGTGCTGAGATTACAGGTGTGAGCCACCATGCCCAACCACTGAATACACCTTTTACTTAAACTGTGAGAATCTCTTATGTGCCAGACCCTGTGCTAGTTCTTGATGGCAGTATGAAAACCATTAGAATCTTGTCCCCAAGAAGCTCACAGCATAAGATTCCAGAAAGCTACAGCCAGAGATAGAAATGTGGACAATTACAACCCAGCATGAGAATTTCTGCAATAGAGGGATGGTGCAAGGTGCAGTGGAAGCTCCGGATGGAATGACAGACTGCCTGGGACAGTGAGATGGCCAAGACTTCCTCCAGCAGGTGACTTTTGAATCCAGAGGTGTGTTTACTAGGAGTGCAGTGCAGGAGGAAAGGAACACCAAGCAGAGACAGGAGGAGGTAGAAAGACTTGAAGGTATGAAATAGCCTGGCATGTTTAGGAAAGTTCAAATAGTCCTGTCTGTCATCCAGTGGTTTTCGATGTTTCTGCTTGCCTGTTCCTATCTGTAAAAATATTTTAAGCATAGATTTTCCCCCAATATGAGCATTCTTTTTTTTTTTTGAGACTGAGTCTTGCTTTGTTGCCCAGGATGAAGTGCAGTGGTATAATCTCCTCTGTCTCCCAGGTTCAGGAAATTCTCCTGTCTCAACCTCCTGAGTAGCTGGGACTACAGGAACTTGTCACCACACCCAGCTAATTTTTTTTTTTTTTTTAATAGAGACAGGGTTTCACCATGTTGGCCAAGATGGTCTCGATCTCCTGACCTTGTGATCTGCCCGCCTCGGCCTCCCAAAATGCTGGGATTACAGGCGTGAGCCACCACACCTGGCCTCAATAGGCCACTCTTAAGACTCAAAGCCCTGTGAGAGAGTCCAGTCTGTCAGTTTCACTGCTGTACACCCCTTGTCTAGACAGTGCCTAGCATTACGAGGCACTCAATAAATATGGATTGTTGGACTGGTTTGATTTTCCCTATTGCTGGACCATAAGCCTAAAGTGATGGCTGGTGAAAAATGTTTATAGACTTTACTGAAGGAAGGCCTTCATAGCATTTCCCAGAGTTCTACACAGGACAACAGAGCTTTGATTTTGGAGCTCTAGCTCTCACTGTTTATCTTAGGGTAGTCAAGACCCTCACATAAGTTCCCTGTGTCTTCTGAGGGCATTCACGTTGTTCCTCAGGGCCAATAGTATTCCTATGCATTACATGGTGCCTGTGGTGAGGGATTAATAAAAGGGATATTGTGACTTTCTTGGCAGGGATGAAAGGACTATCAACATGGTAAATAGCCCTTGTATAAGCAGGCGAAGAGAATGAGGCTATTCTTCCTCCCACCATGGCTCTCACTGGTGATGATAACAACACCAAAAGCATATTTTTCTGTTTGACTTTTGAATCCAGAGGTCTATGATGTGGTAGCAACAAAACTGTTTAAGATCTGGCCCATGACACTGGCTTCCTACTAATGGATGGGTTGGAACAAGGTTGAAGGGTCATGTTTTGTGTGAAGTGCAATTAACATTTTATTATGGATTAATTTGAGGTTTTTAAGAAATATATAGGGCACACATTTCTTCACCAAATTTCAAAGAAACTTAGATAGATCCTTTAAAAAAACTTTTCTTCCCAGAATGATTTTTAATTAATTAATTAATTTTATTTATTTTTATTTTTATTTTTTTATAGAGATGAGGTATCACCATCTTGGCCAGGTTGGTCTTGAACTCCTGACCTCGTGATCCACCCATCTCAGCCTCCCAAAGTGCTGGGATTATAGGCATGAGCCACCGCACCCGGCCCCCAGAATGATTTTTTAGAGACAGATGCCTACCAATAATATTTTATGTTTAGTTAATCAGCCTATAAATATTTATTGAGGGTCCGTGGGATCAGCTTTTGCTTGTACTAAACAAAATATCAGTAAATAGACAACATGATTCCTACCCTTGGGGAGATGACTTTTTTTTTCATTTTTTTTTTCTTTTTCTTTTTTTCTCAGATCAGATGAGTAATGTGCCAGTGTTATAACAAGGTTCAAGGTTGGCACATCTCACACAAGAGTGTGAACACTCAGTCATCATGTTCATGAACTAAAAAAAGGTCCAGGGAGACGACTTTTTAAGTAGAGAAAGAAAATAAGGGCTGGTTTGGTGGACTGTGGGAGATACACGCAGGTGGATCACTTGAAGGTCGGGAGTTCGAGACCACCTCACCAGATGGTGAAACCCTATCTCTACTAAAAATTAGCTGAGCGTGGTGGCACACACCTGTGATCCCAGCTATTTGGGAGGCTGAGGCAGGAGAATTGCTTGAAGGTTGCAGTGAACCAAGATCATGCCACTGCCCTCCAGCCTGGGCAACAGAGCAAGACTCTGTCTCAAAAAAAAAAAAAAGGAAAGAAAAGGAAAATAGTCCATTAATCAATGGAGGGCAATAATTGAGATACTGTGCCATAATATGAAATGTATTTAGTCCCTGGTTCCTCACAAAGCTTAAACTCTCAGAATATCCCAAGCAATGAGTATCTATTGTTATGATAAGAAGCCCTTATTAGCACAACTGAGTTTATGTTAATGAAGTGACTTAGGGTGGGACCCCTAGCTAGTCTCAGGATGGGGTTGGTCTTGAAAGACCCAGTGATTAGAAGATTAGAGGATTGGAACTTTCAACCCCACCCACCAACCACCAGGAAAGTGGAGGCCAAAGGGGGCTGAAGATCAGACTCTAGCAAAGACTCTTGAACAATGAGATTTGAAGAGTTTCTGGTTTGCTGACATGTGTAGGTGCTGGGAGGTGGCTGGCCAAGAGAGGGCATGGAAGCTCTGTGTTCTCCTTCCTGTACCTTGTCCTATCCATTTCCATCTCGTGTTCATCAGTATCCCCTCTAATACACTGGATTAAAAAACAGTAAATGGGTGGGGCACTGTGGCTCACTTGTAACCCCAGTGCTTTGGGAGGCCCAGGCAGAAGGATGGCTTGAGGCCAGGAGTTCGAGACCAGTTTGGGCAACATAGCAAGACCCTAGTAGTACAAAATAAATGAAAAAAAATTTTTTTTTCAGCCAATAAATGTAAGTAAGTGTTTCCATGACTTCTGTGAGCCTTCACAACAAATTAATTGACCTTGTGGAGGAGATGATGGGAACTTTGATTTAAAGCCACTTAGAAGTATAGGTGACTGCCTACTACTTGCAATTGGTTTCTGGAGTGGGGCAGTCTTGTGGGACAAGTGTAGCTGGAACTACAGGCATGCGCCACCACACCTGGCTAATTTTTGTATATTTAGCATCATCATCAACACCTGGTGATGGGGTTTTGTCATGTTGTCCAGGCTGGTTGCGGTTCTTTTCTTAAAACAAAGAAATTGAAGACTCGAGTTGCTATTGAATCAAGCTGCTTGTCCCTGAACTTCCCTTATGTAATCAGTGGGAAAATTACAAGTCTGATAAGTAGGGACTGATTTTCTGGACATTTTACATTTCATTGGGAAAATAAATCAGAGAGTTATCCGATTCCTCCAGGGCAAATGTAACTGTAATGTAAATCAGAGTCACCAAGGAACAGAGCCCTGAGCTAAAATAGATGCCAGGGCCTCATTTAAAAACCATGACAGACACCCCACTTATTCTCAGAACACAAGTATCATTTACTTCTTGGGGCCTGGAGTGAGAGTTTGTCGGTGTTGGCTTTGCTTCCTAGAATCTCACAGGATAACAAATGCTAGGATGGAAAGATATTGGACACAGGTGCAGTACATGATTATGTTAAATTGAGAACAGACTTTCAAAGGCTCTCTATAATCTTAATGATTTCCAGAGGGTCCTCTTTCAGCTTCCCTACGTTGCCTCTGGTAGCCTAATTAATAGAGTGTGACTTTTTAGTTCTTGCCAAGTGCCAGCACAGCTCAAATGACAACCGTCGGGAGCATGTGGCAGATAACTGAAGAAACCTTTAGTTACCTAGCTATCTTTAGAAGACACTGTCTTTGGCTTAATGAATGCTGTTATTTTATAAGTAGCCACAGGTGTTTGGAACCCTGTCAGCATTCTTGGGGCTCTAAATAGTGTTTGGTAAGTTTTCAGCCTTTATATAGGCATCAACAGGGTTTGAATATCTGCCCAATATCATAGTAAAGTAGAAAGTTACAGAGAGAAAACAGAGCCTCCAGGATGGCGTGAAGGATGTAAACATGCAAAATAACACTGCAGACAAAACCATTAATGTAACCAATGGCAAACCATGCAGAAATATTAATAAGGCTGAATATACTCTTTCAGGTGTGAGTCTTGGTGAGTGAAAAATCTTAGGTTCTAGGTTCTATATGTGGCCTTGCCACTTACACATTATTAACCAATTCCAATCACCAGATGTGAACTTTCTTCTCATCTATAGACAGAGGTTATCATCTCTTAACTACATCACATGCTTGTTTGCCAAATCAAGTTTTTGCAAATGAGATGCAGTATCTAGAAGTAGTTTATAAGCCATAATGTGCTGAGCACATGAAATGCGGATTTATTTATTTATTGTTTACTTATGTATTTTTGAGATTGAGTCTCGATCTGTCACCCAGGGTAGAGTAGAGTGGCACAAAATCTTGGCTCACTGCAACCTCCGCCTCCCAGGTTCAAGCAATTCTCCTGCCTCAGCCTCCTGAGTAGCTGAGATTGCAGGTGTGCGCCACAACGCCTGGCGAGTTTTTGTAATTTTTAGTAGAGATGGGGTTTCAACTTTTTTTTTTAGGCTGGTCTCGAACTCCCGACCTCAGGTGATTCTCGCCTGCTTTGGCCTCTCAAAGTGATAGGATTATGGGCGTGAGCCACAGCGCCTGGCCTTGAAAATGTGGATTTATTATTATGTAGAGCCTCATTAGGTGTCAGATATATAGAACACTGGATAATCCAGAGTTACCACCTAAAGTCTCACTCACACCTGGCATAAATGTCCACTTGGCTGTTGATAATGGCATTGGCGCCTCCTGTATTCTTTTCCTATCCTCAAACTGTTTGACTGACCTGGGGATCCAAATGGAGGTGTATCTAGATGTGTGAAATTGTATCTACCAAAGCCTCATCAAATACAGGCATATACCAAGAATATTCAGGGGCTACATCGATAAACAGGAGGCCCGAAAATTTGACTCTGAGTGTACACCCACAAGAATCAGAGCAACTATGTTAAGAAAGGGAAAATACAAACCCGGCATAAGCCAATATACAGATTACCAGAAGGTGCTTTTCACTGGCTGTATCTTCCAGACATAGAAAATAAGATTTTCATGAGGATGGTGTCAGATATGTGAAATAGCATTTCATTAAGCAGACTTGAGAAACATTTTTGTTTTCTACATAGTCATTAGTGAAATATAAATTTGTAGGTTTTTTTGAAAATTTTTCCAGGCTTCATTTTTATTATTATTATTATTATTTTGAGATGGAGTCTCACTCTGTCACCCAGGCTGGAGTGCAATGGCACTGAGATTACAGGCATGAGCCACTGCACCCCGCTGTGATTTCTTTTTATGTCTAACAGAATGTGAGTTAAAATGAAGCCTGGAGGCTGGGTGTGGTGGCTCTCACCTGTAATCTCAGCATTTTGGGAGGCCACCGCAGACAGATCACTTGAGGCCAGGAGTTGGAGACCAGTCTGGCCATCATGGTGAAATCCCCATCTCTAGTAAAAATATAAAACTTAGCCAGGCATGGTGGTGGGAGCCTGTAATCTCAGCTACTTGGGAGGCTAAAGCAGGAGAATCGCTTGAACCCAGGAGGTGGAGGTTGCAGTGAGCCAAGTTCCCACCATTGCACTCCAGCCTGGGCAATAAGAGCAAAACTCCATCTCAAAAAAAAAAAGAAAGAAAGAAAGAAATCACAGTACCAAGTGTATTTGATGTCTGCACTGAGTACCACAGATGGTCTAAACATTTGGCTACATGAGTTAATGATGGTTAAGGGATCGTTAACCCCCAAAATTGTTAATGTGGTATGGTTTGGGATTATTTGTGACTTTTTTGTTTACTAGTGGGGGGTGTGTGCGTGTGTGTGTTTCCATCACTGCATCTGAGATTCTCAGTATTCAGCATTTTTGGTGTGTGCTGTTTTATCTTTTCAACACAGCAGAGGTGCCTCTGTCCATTGCCTCAGGAGTTTCGTGAACACGAGCACCTTCAGTGTTGGCTCCTTATCTTTGGGACTGAGCAGATACAGTGGCCTTCTATGAATTTTCCTGCTAGCTAATGCTCTGACTTCTTTGCTCAGCTGTCCATTGTCTCCTGGAGCGCCCTGTGCACCAGCCTGAACTACACTTATCGAGAGCTGGCTGGACCTGACAGCAGACAGAGCTTAGGCCACAACCCAGCACCCTGCTGTGTACACATTCTGTGAAGAATAACATGTCTCTTCCTGAAGGAAGGGTTATGTAACATTTCTTATCCAGTGGAACTAAACACACATGCGGGTAGTCCAAATACTTCTTCATATTAATAGAAAGGTGATGGCAGAAACATTCTGAAGTCCTTCTGTTCCACAGAGATGAGTATACAGCTATCAAAGGACCCCACATTAGAGGTTCAGGGTTTGCATTCCATACTGCACTATGATTTCTTTCTGTCCAGCCTGAAACAAAAATGAAACCCAAACCTTTATACTCACTGAGTGTCATTTACCGTAAGCCCCATCCCACACACTTTGGGAAATATGAAAGAAGAATGAGAGAGCTTTTACTCATCTAATTTGTAGTATGTTCAAAAGAATTAATGCAAATAAGATTAAAGTAATACAAAATGCTATATAGGTAAACATGAGCATTTTAGAAAGTAGACAGTATCTGTCTACTTTCTAGAACACATCCTGGAAGAAGGCTGAGGCATTTGAGTTTGGTGGATAAATCAGAAAAGAGGGAGAGCATATTCTGAAAAGGGAGAGTAACCTACATATAGGGAAGAGGCAGAAAGGAAGGATTGGGCTAAAATTGAAAGAGGAAAATAATGTTGGATATGTTGAGTTTTAACATATTAAGGAGACTTTGACTGGCATACACACAATTCCCAAACATATAGAATACAACATTTCCATTTGGAAGAAACACCACCTGTTTCAGTTACA